GATTCCATAATATTCAATTAATATTTAATAACCCACAAGGAAGGAGCCGAGTTTTTGCCATGCACGGTGGTGCAGTGGCCTACAATCGCATGTATTGATTTGCCCTCGTTTCCTCAATCAACAATATGACAGAACTCTTGACTGATCTTGCTGCCAACGAAGCCAAGTCGTTGACGAATGCCGCTATCAAAGTGGTTGTTTACACCTTTCATCGACTCCCTCCCAGCGCATCAAGCAATCTCGTAAATTTTGCAAGCTCATGACCGAAGTAGGAGAGTATGGATTGTTTGTTGACATGGATTCGATTTTTGACAACTATACTAAGTCAGTTGACGATATTTTGCCCTCTTGACTACTTACAAAGTTACATGCAATTGGAGAGCTATATACCTTCTTCGAAAAGCCGGGCTGTTACTCCTGGCTCCGGGGCCTGAGTACTCTAAGGAAAAAAGAAAGGCTGCACGCCAGGCTGCGACAAAGGTCAACCATGTGCTGAATTCTGCCCAAGGTCCGTCCAAGCACAATCTCGAGCGAAGCAAAGACTTGAACAACTGTATGACTTCTATGTTTAATGACTTTTCAATATCCAGTCCGTTAGTAGGTGCCGCGCGATTCAAAGGATCTATAACATCACTCAGCGCAAATTCGTCAAGAAACAAAGAAAACATGGTAAAAACTCTACCACTATAAGTATCTTGATTTATTTGCATCTTCGTTGTGTCATTGACCTCCTTTGTAGACAAGGTTTGAGAAGAGGAAGAGAATTCCCCTGGAGCTCTTGAAGGTCAGTTTACGATAGCATCTTACAACACCAAATGTCTTGCCAAAGAAAGAACTACTTTAAGTGTCTGGGTTTTGCTATCTGGATAAAGATCACAGAGAGAGATAGGAGTTGAAGGCGGGTTATTTCTTGGGAACTTTCCTCACCTCTTACTCTTCCCTGCCCAACTTTCCCCGTCCCTTCCTCTTCCACCACTACAACTCTCCCCAGCTTTCCCCTCTTTACTGTTGTTTCCCTCCCTCCCTCCATACCCTCCCTGTCCTCACTTATCTTTTTCTCTGTGAAAGCTCCACCTGCAATGTATATGTTTGTGTATGGATCAATCTGTTTCACGAATATGCGAAGGAATAACAAAAAGAAAATAAGAGTCAAGGTCTAACCAGGACTCGAACCTGGGTTACGGGAAGTCAAATACACCGAGTAGTCACCATATCAAAATCCCGTGTGATAACCTCTACACTATTAGACCATGATTTAGGGTGTGATCTACAGCGGTATAGGAGCGTGAGACCTGCGGGAATGGCTGTACAAACGTGAGGCTTGAGAATGCCGTGCTCCAATTTGCAATTGTCAAGAAAAAAAACAAGAAATTGCTTATGAACTACCACGATGGCGAGCGGAGCACCAGCAAGTTCAGCTACGACATCGACTTCATCACCGACGTCTGCGAGTGCGACAACGAGTAGTAGTAGTAGTACAACCTCATCTACGACTAGCAGCAATTCCAGCAACACCTCCAATACTTCTTCCTCGACGTCGGCATCGAACACCGCATCGTCAGCGAAATCCACCGGTTCGAGTTCTGGGTCGGCATCTAGTAGCGGGACGTCTAGTGCGACGAAGGCGAGTAGCTCAACCACGTCAACATCGACGCTCACCGCGTCTTTAACGACTGCTGTACCTACTACCGTCGTAGGGACATCTGCTGATGGCCAGGTATACACCACCGTTATCCAGACATCTACCGTTTTACCACCAGGAGCCACCGTCACTTCTTCGTCCTCCGCAGACTCCGGATCATCTTCATCATCGGACTCGCACACAGGAGCGATAGTTGGGGGTGCCGTCGGTGGTGGAGCAGCGCTGATAATCGTTTTGGTGTTGGTTGGAATGTGGTGGAAGAGGTATAAACAGAAACAGAGATCTTTGGAGGCATTTGATGGGAACTTTGATCCGGATAGGATTGTGACTGAGGGGAAGGCGATGAAGGGTGAGCCAAAAGGGATGAGGGGACGAGGAGCGACGTTGCCGAATGTTGGGGATGATGATGATGGAATGGGTGGAAGGTTAGCTGGGTCGGCACTGGGAGCTGGTGTCGTCGCACCGTATCCTCTGTATCACCCAACAAACGCAAACGCAATGCCTCCTGAAATGTCGACACAGCAACAACAACAAAACTCCAATCCATCTTCAACATCCCTCGGGTATTCACGTCCAAGTACACATACCAGGTCACCAAGTTTGGGTTTATCCAGCTCAGGTGTACCTGCGTCGGTGTATGCCGCTGCTTATGGTGAGAACGGCCCACCGCCTACTCAACCTCAAGGCTCCAATGCACCCTACGGTTTCGGCGTCGGCGAACGTCTACCGAATCCCTATACTCAAAACCCCAATCAACCCAATCCAGCATCCAACACCGGGTCTACTTCCACACACACCACGCACACTGGAGCCGGGCAAGGATATGGTCGATTCAATGTCGCTAATCCAGATCCAGGCGCTGCGGCTGGCGCATCGTCTTCATCTGCAGCAGGTCCCGAAGGTCTTTTCGTCGGAGGATTCAACCCCGCTAATCGTGGTGAAAACAAATCCGCTGCGGGGCCTGCGTTTGGTGGAAGGAGCAGAGATGTGTTGGTACATCAGGACGGAGGGAGGGTTGATGTTCCCAGGGGTGAAGGAGAAGGAGAGGGTCCAGATGAGATTCCTCCCACATATGACAGTTTGCTTCCAGATAGTAGTGGGAGTGGGCCTCCTCAACGAGGTGGGAAGCGATGATCATTATGCTGCGCGTCCATTGCTCTCCATGATACCCACCTCCGTTCACTCTCCCACCTCTTTCTCCTTCTGCTCTACAACGTAAATCCACGACGACGCCCCTCACGTTTCGACGACCCTCAAGCACTTAGGCCAGGCTCCTATGTAATACGCTTTGACGCTCCTTCTGTACTAGTAGTACATCCTAGGGTACTTATTTATTTGTTTCGTGTAAAGTTTATACTCCCTTTTCCTCTCGTTTTCCATCTACTCCTCTCTTTCTCCCTCTGACATTTTTCTTCTTCTGACCTTCTTCTTTTGACCCTTCCGTGCTTCCCCTCTCCTCTTAATCTTAATCACTCCCATCTCCATTCTATATCCTTCCTCCTCCTCCTCCTCCTCCTCCTACCTTTTGACTTGTATTCACTATCACTCTCTGACAATCTAACAAATCTCTTCCAAAATCGCATGATATTGATATGATACTCTTCGGCGGGCCCTCAGGCTATTACTGAGAGATTATCGGATCCGGATCCAGACGTAGAGAAACAAAAATAGACGAATTGCAGTACTGGTCCGAGTCGCTGTCAATACAAGTACTAGTCCGAATTAAGTTGCTAAGAAAACGTCTCGATTTTCTGGGTTTTTGTTCTTTGGTAGAGAAACATTTCCGAGTTTCCGAGTTGCAATGTATGTCCTTGTTCCCTATATATGCGCAAAGATGATTATGTTCATCCCTGACCTTGTTTTTTTGTTTGTTCAAAGCGAATCTGAATTCACACATGGACCCCACACTGGCAAAACATCCATCACGGGGCGTTCTGACACTAGTTTCGTCTTTTCCATTCAACGGAAAGCATTGTACTCGAGGTTCTAAAGAACAATAGTAACCGCCTTCGTAGTTCAAGTGAGTTCTCCATCAAGTTATGGATTCATAGGCTGATGTTTCAATTGAGTTGTCTCTTGTATCGTTCTAGCAACCATGCATGATACATCCACGATACAATTAACAGCTGGTTACCATCATCTATGAAATAATGGTTAGGCATATTTAAGAGAACCACTTTCAACGCAGACTCGCTTCATAAAAGATAGGCTCTTCTCTATATAACCTGTGACAAAAACTTCTCCGGCGGAACGCCGACAATGGAGGAACCTCATGCCAAGGACATGTCTGATTTATTGTATGCGCAATTGGGCGTCAGACTCTCTCCGGAACAGTTACTACGTGTGTCTCACGAGGCAGCGAATAGGCGCAAACTAGGTATGTGTGCCGATTCATTTGACAGTTGGACTGAAATTGAGAATGCTCATAGGCCAAACTGGCCATGTACAAGCGAAAAATTCAACGGATGTTGGCTTAGGTATGTGACCGATGGCCGAAAAAGTCCACATTCCATCTATTGAGCATCTCCTAGAACGGGATGTAACCCAAGCCACTATAAAAATGAGTGTTAATGACACCAAAACTAACAACAAGTGTAAGTCAAGTTGGTCTGCTGCGAATTTCCTCATTCAAATGTAGTCCGGTGTAGTAGAGATTGCATCGTTGAAGGCCCACATGGATTCATTCCTCGATGATTACGATTCTCAGATGGAAAAATTAGCTTTGAACCAGATCCAAATTCCCTCCTGGATGCCGGAGTTTCCTGATATCGATTCCGATCTGAGGCAATTCATATGGGACCTCAAAATACCTCGAGCTCGTGCACCCCACGACCACCTTCCAGATATGTTGCTGCATGATCTGGGTCGCTTTCAGGATAACAAGGAGTTGAGAGAACGCCTTCAGATGTTGCTTGGGACAAACACCCACAAGTGAGTCCGGATTTGTTGCAGGTGATGACTCGGAGTGGCAACATGTTGATTAAATTCCAAAGGGTTTTTGTGAATACTGCGGGCTCCGGGAAGACTAGAATGATCCTAGAAAACCTGTGCACCCACTGGGGTATCTATCTCACCTGCCATGAGGAATCTCGTGTTGGTTCATCAGACTTGCAGATCGCTATCTCGACTATTAAGGAGCGTTTGACCTGCCTCCCTGAGATCCCCATGCTGCAGGTTACTCAAGAACAACTGGCTGAATTCAATGACAACCAAGGCAAAATTTGCACAGAAAAGGAATATTTTGAGGCGAGGTTTCAGGAGACTGACCCAACTTCACTTCGGTTCTCATCTGAAGGAAAATATTTCAATCGAATTCTCGAGGCTAACCAACAGATTGTCGCGTATGACTTGCTTATTGTAATACTGGCTCGGCTGCATATCTTGCGGCGGTTCACTGCGATACTGCGCAAGATAGGTAAAGACACGAGCCAAATGTCTCATAAACGGCAGTGGCTATATCTCCAACTTCATCCCGAATTGATACCGTCGGGTAAATCAAGGGACATTTTCATCGAGCTGATTAAACATATCACTGCTTTTTTCATGCAGGAAGGATTGGTGTCTGTATCGACGGACATTCGAATAGAGATCATGAACCATCTCTTAGAGAATGTTTTGTCCGATATCGAGTGTACGCTGGGTGCTAGAAACCCTGGGGAGAAGTGCACACTTTATGTTGCAGTCGATGAATGTCAATTCATTGCTCAATTGAAGCCACATTCGAATTTCTTTCGTTCAGACAATTGGACAGTTGAACGACCGTTACTTCGTCAGATCGCCAGGTCTTTGGACATGATGTTCAACATGAAATCTCATACCACTGGAATCCAAGCTTGCTTCATTTTCACTGGAACAGGCTTGTCCAGAGAGATCATTTATGAAGCCTTGTCATCGGTCATATTAAAACCAGGATTTACTGTTGATATCAATGAAACAGGAGCATTCAACGATGCTACAGCTCAGCTCGAGTACATGCAAGAGTTTTTCCCTCCTAAAATATACCAAAATAAGGAATTCGAACAGTTGCGGGGACGGATTTTCTACTGGTTGAGAGGAAGGTAAGGGATTCTGGAATTGACCAGGAATTACTCGTTCTCATGGCGTCGTTTCCTAGGCATAGGTTCACTGCAGAGTATTTGTCTGTTGTATTGCAGAACGGATACCAGCACCTGCATAAAATCCTCAATTCGTACATTCTCAAGATGACCGGTATCAATCCAGCGGATTACAAGGGAAACGAGACACCATTCCAGAATATTGCATGGCCTTCTCGGGCATTTGCATTTCAGAGGCTGGAAGGGGAAATGAAAGAAAGGATCAGAACAATCTGCCATGAGTATCTGTTCACCTCACGACTATCTGCCGACTTGGGAAAGAATGAAATAAAATTTGTGGAATATGGGCTAGCGAGGTTCAACAGTTCCCCCGATCCTTTACAGCAGGATGTCATTGTGATCGACGAACCTCTGGTATTGTTAGCATGTTCAATGTGGTTTAATAATCAACCCCAGCAGAGCGGTACTAGTGTATACCAAACTCTAGCCTCTCGCATTCGAGACCATAATCCTTCTACCGGCCGGAATGGATTCGAAGAGTTCATTTGCTTCT